CWYTYTCTMATAAAATTTAGGGGTACATGCAACAGATGTCCCAGCCTCTCAGTCCCATCTATAACATTTAATGTACTTTATCAAAGTCTTTGAGAATTTATAAATGTAAATCGGATTAATATTTTGCATGGCTTCCCAGAGCCTTGACTGAGGCAGTAATTGAAATGGTCTCGATTGCGCACAAGTCACGCGATTTAGCGGAAATAAAAATGACGAAAATGAAACTGACGAAAATTTTGAAAAAAAATGGCAGCCGAGCGTTTGAGAATAAAACGCAACGTCAGTCAATCCTGTTTTTCTTAAAGCTATGCAGCAAGGATCTCCTCAAGAAGGTCATCTTGACCCATTGATTCTGAACCAGACTTCCAATGCATCAGGAACGTTTCCATCAGAATATCAGGCTGAAGTGCCTTGAGCAGGCATGACTTTGCCATTATAATCGTAAAGTCACTAAATGACCTTACGACGGTCATTTGCTGCCTCTTTAACCGCTCGCTTATTCGTCAGACACTGTGCAAGTATCTCAATCAGTGCGGATCGAGCTTCCTCCGGACCGAGCTGTGGTCCTCTGGTGCCAACTTCTCATACCTTAAGAAGAGCAACGCAACTGGTGACTATAATGTTCCAAGGAAATCGGCCCGCACTCGGGAGTGAACAGCGTTTTGAATGGTTAAAGTGCACTCAAGAACGGCTACATATTATATAGAGAAATTTTTCCCTTAGACCAATTCGATTTAAACGATGAAAGCAAACTTAGAAAATCCGCATAGTTCTTGTTTATCATAAAGCAATTGTCCATCCATTACAAATTGTTAGCATCTGCTGAATGTGAATACTTACCTTTACCGTTCTTACGATTCACAAATTGACTACTATCCTTACTCGCATAAAGATCGTGCAAAACAGGGCTGACGGTCGAGAAACAAGTGAAGTTTTTTTTTCCAAACAGACTTTCGATTGTGGAATGATTAATTCATCTACTTTCCTTACTATATTTATATTTTCAATCGAGGCTAAACCCTTCAATGGTTAAAAATCGCACTTCCGCTGATAATATTAAGTAAACAACCAGAAGTGGGAGACTGTCAAGTCACAGAAACTGAAACTAAAGAGTGAATGAATAGGTACACCAAACGATGAGCTCCCAGTAGAAGGATCCAAGGAGGATACAGTGCTTCAATGTAAATTTTAAGTAAGTGTAAAACCATGAAACATGAAGCAAACTTCTAACTGTTCCAGCTTTAATGTGGCGACGTTTCGGCCTTCGGCCTTCTTCAGGTGGAACGTATTTACATACAAATTAAAAACTAAAAATCCTAGTAGGTTTATAGAATGACCTGAATTTATACTAAAAGTAGGAAATATAAGTAATATTACGTATTACGTAATGCACTAAATACCTAAATAATGATATAATAATGAGCATAGTTAATAGAGGGGACTGATTAGGAGACCCGGCGAACATCAAACGTGCGGCCTATTGTTTCTATCAACTATGTAATGAGTAAAAGGCAAGAATGTGCAAGGGGCGAAATAACCACGATTGGTTGCGAAGAACACAATTGCATTTTGTAAATTGTGTCCTAATTACGTCTTGTAGCAGACGCCATTTTTGGTTCTGAATTCGCGTCTTTTGTTAAGTCCATGGGGACTAAGTGCACAAAGGTGCGGTCCAGTAGGCCTCTCTCGTAAGTAATAATCTATCAATATGAGCTGCGTCCCCTTGGCTGCTAATTTTCTCAATAACAATAAAATTAATTTCGGAAATCTCGTGTTTGGTACAATTGAAATGGACTGCAAGCTCGCACGTTTTTTTGTTTCATTGTTTTACACTTACTTAAAATTACACTAACTTATATGTATATAGGTGGCTTTTTCAGAATTTATTCAGGCTACCTAGAGCATAAGCTAGGGAGAAACCGATGGAGCCATTGATTGTGATGATGTGACGATACCGCGCTACAAAGGTGGGTGCCCTCTAACACACACACAAAAATAACCAAACCCGAGAAAACGCGCCGCAACCAAACGTAAGCATACAAATATTTATTAAGACAATAACAATAACTAACGATCACGATAATACAATAAGCTAAATTACTTACCTTAATTAATTTACAGGAATATAATAGTTTAAAATTAAAGTACGCTAAATCTATTTACAAGAGTATTATTAAATAAAAAAATGTTTTTACAAGTTCAGTTCGCCTTGCGTCCGTGTTCGGCCAAGCGTTATTGCAAGTAGAGTGCGAACTAACGATTTACAACTTGAATACCTCTTTTTCTCGTTGAACTGATTGTTTACAACAGGACCGGGACCGCGAATAAACCCTAGCTAAAGGGGCCAGATGAAGAAAGGACACTTTCTTAGCCTCCCAGACGTTTTTGTTAGTTTCTGCCTGCGGAAATTAAAATCCGCGCCGGTGATAACATCGTTCTACGCTATTATACAGGCACTGTGGGTACGTAGTGTAAGAATAATATAATGGTGTGTAGCGCATATTTTTAAGTCATCTGACACTGCGAGCTATTCCTCCACTTCATGAGGACAATTAATGCCACTGTATCTGCCACCTATTTATATAGACAGCATTAGAAACAAGTTTTTCGTCGAGCATTACAACAAGGAAGTGGAAAAGCAACAACCAAGGAATCATATGGAAAATATTTATCCTCATTTATTGGTTTTTCATGACAAATGTTAATAAACTAAGCAGATTTACTGCACGAAATGGTGACGCAATGCTAGGTTAAGCTTCCCTCGCGTGTAATAGTCACAATAGTCGCAATTGTATTAAAACGACCTTGTTACATTAACTTATAGTTTTCTGAACTAGTTATGGTAAGCGTAGTGCAATTCAGGAAGCTTTGCATCAACCAGAAAAAAAAAAAACTTTTTCCTACAGTAGCTTTGTTTCTTATATAGATTGTAAAATACGTGCTCAGATCTTTATAAACAATTTTGCCTTAATTTCTTTAACAGATTTCAAACCAGAAATTCTCTGCTGTATTTGTATTCTTCTTTCCTAAAAGTTTTAAACCATAGTCTCCTAATAGAATATCATTTCAATGTAGACTACTGAAATAAAAAGAGAATAATTCAAAATAATGCAACTGTCAACAAAGTAAAAAAACGATCAAAATTAAAGAAAAAGATTATTGGAATAGTCAAGTACAAAACTTCTCTGTGCTAGAGTATTTACGTTATAAGTTATAACCTACATGCATATGACAGTGAAAACACCTACGAATTCTTACATTTCTTGCAAAAAGACTCAGACTGTCATATATAAATATGTATCTCGGCATTATA